GGTACTAATGTGTAACATGAATGGTTATTAAATAATAGGTAGGGAAACGGGAGGGGTACTAATGTGTAACTTGATTCGTTATTAAATAATAGGTAGGGAAACGGGAGGGTGGGACTAATGTGTAACTTGAACGGTTATTAAATAATGTAGGAAATGTTCCCAAAATAAACTGTTTTTTACATTTAAAAAAAACATGAACACCCAGGGGACTAAAAATAGTTGTTGTCCCCCCCCCCTAGAGAAATCTGAAGTGGTGTTCCTGATTACAGTATCACTATCTATCAGTTTTTTCTGGGTTGTCACTACGATACATTCTGCCACCATGATATAGGTATCCTTCAGTTTTGTAGGTTGTCACTATGATACATTCTGCCATCATGATGTAGGTATCCTTCAGTTTTGTAGGTTGTCACTATGATACATTCTGCCACCATGATATAGGTATCCTTCAGTTTTGTAGGACCTACATCATGATGGCAGAATGTATCATAGTGACAACCTACAAAACTGAAGGATGGCTATATAATGATGGCAGAATGTATCATAGTGACAACGTACAAAGCTGAAGGATACCTATATCATGATGGCAGAATGTATCATAGTGACGACATCTAACAAAGTACATTGTTACCTTTATATACTGTAACATCTAACAAGGTACATTATCTTTATATATTGTAACATCTAACAAAGTACATTGTTATCTTTATATACTGTAACATCTAACAAAGTACTTTGTTACCTTTATATACTGTAACATCTAACAAAGTACAATATAGCTGTATATGCTGTAACATCTAACAAAGTACAATGTTGCCTTTATATACTGTAACATCTAACAAAGCACACTGTTATCTTTATATACAGTTGTTGGAACCTTTGTTTGTTTTTGCAAAAACTTACACAATGGACTATCTACACTATCCAGCTACAGCAAGGAAATGAACCCTAGATTTTTGAGTTACAAGTTCATGAACTCATTGGTGACTCACCAGAGGACAGCATGTATCTTAACAGATTACATTTTACCTGTATATATAGTAAAGTAGACTAGCATGAGTGTTATCTGTTATTAAAAGATGTCACATCAAATAACTTAAAAAAATATCATGTTTATTCAGGTTGAGCTATACAAATTCTGTCAGTATCACTGCAGGTAATTTGTTAAAATTAATGTTACCTTTTTATTCGACTATCAGGAATAGATCTGTTGACAGAGATTTGGTCACTGGCAAGCAAGTTGAATAGATTGAGCTTAAAGAGTTCATTTTTCAAAGTTTCTTCCTCTTTACCAATAATCACTGCTTTTCCATTCTCTCCTGGCCAGTGAGGTGGATTATTTTGTAAAACTGAGGGGGAGGGAAGGAGAGAAAAAATATTTTTACTAGGTGAAAACCAAACTTCCCAGCTTTGTCTTACTGGAAAGCCATATTTCATCTTTAAGCAAGAAAATCAATAAAGAAGTACAAGAAAAAAATTAGTCATAAAATTTAGAAAAGCACTAACATTTATCATCAGTTCTGAGATTTTATGACAGATGTTTCTAAATGTCATATAAAACAGTTATAAACAGGCTCAAAAACTTTGCTTTAAATAACTTTACTTTTCTACACCAGAGTCCGAAAAACTTGCTGTAGAATGTAACATGTTTGAAGTCAAATGTGATTTAAAAAAAGTATTTGGTTCTTTCAACAGAACCAAATGTGATTTAAAAAAAGTATTTGGTTCTTTCAACAGAACCCAAATGTGATTTTAAAAAAGTATTTGGTTCTTTCAACAGAACCCAAATGTGATTTAAAAAAAAGTATTTGGTTCTTTCAACAGAACCAAATGTGATTTAAAAAAAGTATTTGGGTCTTTCAACAGAACACAAATGTTTTTTTATTAGCAAGCTGTGTTCAGTTGGACTTATACCAAAACATTTCCATCAGGAAGTAACTGCTTGTACCTATGATGATGAAGAGATAATACTTCGTGATGCAGGAAAAAGGTTCACAGGCATCCTATTTCAACTTGGTACAGCAAATGACAGACAAGACACTTAATATTGAGTGGTAAACAAGCTATCCCTGAAAGTATAATGTGGTGTAAAAAAAACCTGTTCGACTAATCCAGCAAGTCAAAGGTACGACTGTTCACAGATCCAAACGATTTTCTGGAAAAATTCAACTGTATGAAGGAATAAAAGCATATCAATAGGATTTAGGGTAATAAAATCTTGATGAATTAGCTATTAGGAAAACTTGTCCATCAGGAATAGAAAGTAGGCTTTTGTTACCAAGACTCAATTAAAACAGTTGGCATTAAAAGTTTCCATGAGCTTTAATTAATTCTACGCTCTGTGTTTGTGTTTGGTTCTCATTCAAAACATTGTAAACATTAAATTGCACAAAAAAGTAGTTTGTGTATTTTATTTAAGCGTAAAATGCACAAAATTGAACACCAAATCATATATTTCCTTGGGACAAAGTGGAAAGTATATATCATAGTGACAACCTACAAAACTGAAGGATTTACAGTATATAAAGGTAACAATGTACTTTGTTAGAT